ATCCAAACGCGTTGGCCAGGTCCAGAAAGACAACGTATAAATCATCTAAATATAAATCAGCCCAAAGCTGCTTGAAGAGCAGAATGAGCCTCATCAGACTGAAAACCACTCGTGTGTGTTAATGTGTTCAGCAGAATTTAGCTTTACATTACAGAGCAGAAACAAACTGGAAGTTACTGAAGACAAAGTTCCACTTTGTTCAAACAGTCCAAAGAAGAAGAAGAATCTGCACTGAATTATAGAAAGGTAGTTTTTGTATAAAAGTTGGAAATCGTGGAGGTAAACCAAACTTACTTGAAGGTTTCTTTCATTTCAGAATGGTTTGAACTCTGCACCTGGCCTCAAGGAAAGTCCACATAGCAGATGCCTCAACCCTTACACAGGAACTGCCGGGTAGTCTTCAGTCCTACAGCCTGAACTGGAATCGGGTTGTTGGTCTGATGGGAAAACGAAAAGAGAAAACCCATCACATGGTCCCAAACGCAGCCAAGGCCCTTCTGGATCCTTTCCAAGGGTTTGATGAAGAACTTTGCTCTGGTGTTACTCTGACATCCCAAAATCCCCCAAACAGAAGGACATTTTCTCAGAGTTTCAGTCCTTACTGCATTTGGAAAACCAGAGCCTGTTGCGTCCTGTCAGCAACAGGTTCCTGCAAATGCTGGAGGTCTGCAACAGAGATGATGGAGCCAGTGATTGTGTGTTTCTACGGTTTGCTGCCCCATGAGGAGCAACACAAACACAGATGAGATGCCCTCTTTTTATATTAGGGACGCCATCTTCATCTGCCATGTGGATTTACACGTAGAATTAATTTGACTCTGATTTAGTGGATCCATGTATTCACAAATAATTCAGGGATACGCTCAACAAACACTCCTCCTCCTCCTCTTCCTCCTTCTCCTTTTCCTCCTGCACTAAAGCCTGCATTCGGTGAAACTCAGCTTCAGGCAAATGGTTTTGTTGCAAAAAGTTCCAGTTATTGTTGCAGTTGTTGTTTAATACTGATGTTTGTTTGATGCTTGTTCTGTTTGTTGTTAATTGTTTTAATAAGATAAAACACTATAGAGAATAAGACTCATTGTTAGTTTATCCTGTTGCTGTTTTTTGTATTTTCATATCGATTTTTTTATACATATAGATATAAAAGGAAAAATAAAAACATGTTATATAAATGTTTGGATATTTTTATAATATATATATAATATATCTATATTTATAAAGATTTAAATATGGTACAAGCTTTGCAAAAATACATTTAATTAAGAAGACAACAAAAAATGGGGGGAAATGTTCTGAATGCTTTTTGGATGTTTTAAAGTCACAGCTCATTGTGACTGAAAACGAATCAGTTTTATCGCTTTAGTTAATAAATTAAAAAAATAAAACTGCATTTATTTATAAGCAAAATCAGGGTAAAGAGTTCATCTGACCAAGTCTAAAGATAAGACTTCAGGAACATTCGTCGTTTTTTTTTTTAGTCTTTATCTCTGATTTGGAGCAGCTTTATTTTCAGGTTTAAGAGCTGAGATGAGTCATTCTCTTTGTGTGCAGACTGCTGTCGTACATTCCTTTTACTACGTCATCCACAGAAACACACCTTTACAGGTATTTCTGGTTATTACCATTTCACCTTCATGTACTTGACGGAGGCGACATTTTCCTCTGAGGCGAAGCAGAATCTGAAGGTAAATGATCACATTTTGTTCCTTTGAAATATTAAACTAGTTAAAATAAGATGTCGAAAATTGAAATCTTGATTAAATTATACGATCCAATGTTTAAGAAACAAACTTCAGGTCAGATGAACTGAAGCAGACGTTGAATCCTCCATTTTATGACGCAGCTGATCTGAGGCTCCCCGACGCAGAATAGAATAGAATAGAATAGAAACACACACATTAAAATACAGCTGTGTCTGGATTTTTCTAAGCGCTCTTAAAGGGAACATGTTTATAACTTTGGATTTAAACTCTGGATTCCAACCTCTGTGAAATTAAACCAGGAAGCTTGAGCTCTTGGTGTTTTTGGAACATTTCTAAATCTATCAGCTGAATAAAAGTCCACAGCTCCTGAAATAACAGATGTTCTGTAAGGTGTTTAACAAGAGCTGGTCTGTCAGCAGGGCCACAAAGCCAGAAAGAAGAAACCCAACAAAACAGGTCACATCTGGAATGTCCTCACACAAGGTAGGTTTAAGGACCTCTGTTTAAAACGATTTTCTGAAAATCAAAATGACAAAATGAAAATGGATACTTTAAAACAAAGACATAATACCATGTTACAATGGAGTGTTAGGGCCACATTAAATATTACGAGATTAAAGGCACTATTACATATGGGGAGAACAAAACCCCTCTGAAATGCATTTTCTTACATGTTCTTTTTGACGTCCTGATACTTAGGACAATCTGATCCTGATGTGCCAAAAAATTAAGTATCTCCTTGTTTTTGAAACCTATTCTAAAGTAAATTTCCACCAAATGTTTCACAGTCTATCAACTCTCCTCTAAAACAGGATAGAAAATGTACGACTTTATTCTCGTAATTTATTCTTGCCAAATATAAGAACGACTTTAAACTTGTTATTAAAAAAATAATAATATTAATAATTAATATTCTGTTGTAATTGTATCCATTTATTGGCAAAATAAAATGCAGATTTGTAATGGTAAAAAAATAATCTCAGACTAAAAACCCTGTGCTGAATAAAAATCCTGTCATGAACATCTAAAACCAGCTGAATTGTGACCTAAGAGGCTCTGTGGAAAGTATTTGTTATGCTTTTTGTATTTTAAATCCGATACGGCTCTTTGTGAACAAACACAAATCCGTTTAATAGGTTTAGTCAATAAAAACTGCCTTTATTTCCATGTTATTGTCAGACAGTCAAATGATGGACTTATTTCCTGTTACTGTAAACGAGTCTCTGATATGGTAAATAAGCTCCTGGCATGTAAAACCTGCTGCTACATGATCCACAGAGACACACCTTTACCGGTCTCCCTTCATTCCTATTAGACTTCCGGGAGAAAAAAAATGTGGGCGTATTTCTCTGTAAAACAACTTTTCCATCATCTCTCTTCCGCAATTTTCTCTAAACCCCGCCCCCTTTACTCTGAAAGGCTGACAGACGTCGGTGAACTACATTTATGTTTGACTGACACCTGTGTGAACCAATATTTATGCAGTATCTTATAACATTGAGAACATCGAAATACAGGTTCAAAGAAGACAGATATACTAAAGTCATGAATTGTTAAGTAGTTGTTTATAGTATGTGAAATTGTCCTAAATACAAAAAGAAAGAAAACACCAGAGTAAACTTGAACAAATACATCACTTTGACTAGGGTGCTACAAATGTTTCCGTTTGGCTGACCTGAGCATACAGTTTGTTTCATGTTTTTTCTTTCTTTTCATTTCTTCTCTTTCCTCAGAGTGACTGAGGTCCAGAAGATGGACAGAGGAGAGTCGGAGGCTCTGAACAGACACCAGCCCAGACCTCCAGACCTCAGAGCTGGTCCTGGACCGTCAGACTCAAAGTAAGAGAGCTGCTCATGAAGGGCTCAGGGTCTGATCTGAGGATGTCACATTTAAAGATGTTTATGATCCAACAGCTGAGTGTTTCTGCTGATGGGCCCTTTAGATGGATTTGGTAATCCACCAGAAATG